TCAATATTCAAATAAATGGTGAATTATCAGAACTACAAAGAGTAACTAATGATAATCATTATAAATATCTTTGTATTGAAATATGAGATAAAGTAAACATCAACAAATACTGTACAAGAATATTAAATGATGTATCTTCTATTCTATCATCATTAAATACTATGAAATACACCAGCATCAATACAATAAAAAAGATTAATAGCGACATAATCTCCAAATTAAGATATTGATTTAGTATTGTCAAATATAAACTAGGATAGTTTGAGGGTATAGATAAACAAATAAGAAAAGCATTAATACAACTCCAATTATACAGTAGAAATATTCCAAAAAGTAGATTATATGTTAAAATAAATGAAATATGAATGTGATTAATGTCAACAAGAGATGAATGTGGTAAAGAATTAATAAGAATATATTTAAAATATAAATATCAAACACAGGAATATGAGAAATGATAGAAATAATAAAAGAAAATCCAAATGGAATAAATAAAAGAATGAAGAAAACATTTGGTAAAAAGATTAATTTTAATGAATTAATTGAGATAATAGAATTAAATGAAAGAAAACATGATGTAAAGAAAATATTTGAATGTGTAAATAATGAATTAAATGAAAGATATTTAAATGAATTGAAAGAAAAGAAATGTGGTGAATATAAGATGTACAAATGGCACTTTCAATAATAAGAAATTAACAGTAGCCACATGGAAGTCATTAAATATAAAAAGAAATGCATTCCTCCAAATAGTAAAGATGCAAGAATTTGTAAGTATGACAGGAAGTATTAAATCAAAATTACTCAAAAATGATGATTTTAAATATTGTAAACATTGTCATAACACTATCGCATCTATTCTTCATATATTGTTAGGATGTCCTGTAATGAAAAAGAATCAAATATCAAAACATGATTATGTTTAAACAAATATATAAACATTTATTAATTACACATTTTAATGAATTTGATGCTATTGATTTTAATAATCCTCCTAAATTTATTAATAATGATGAAATAGTCATAACTTACAATAAAGATTTATTGGTTAATGATAGTTCTTTCCATACTAGAAAACTAAATACATATTAAAAAATATTACAGAAAAGAAATGATATATTATAGATGTAGCTATATGTCAAAATAATAATATAGAGTTCAATTACATTCATGAAATAAATAAATACAAAGAATTACAAGAGAAAATAAGAAATAATAGAGAATTAATATATGCAGAAATAATACCTGTTATATTATCAATAAATGGATTAATACATAAAGAATCAGTAAGAAGATTACAATCACTGAAATTACAATTAGACTTTTCCAAAATCCTAAGAACAATCATTATCAAAAATATGAAAGACTTAATGTTTTACACATTCAATTCTTGCAGCACATTA